TCAATTGCATACAATGCGTAAGATAAAACATTTTGAGCAGGAAAGCGAAATGAATAATGATGGCTCTGTTGTATGCAATGAGTTTCCAATAAATGAATCAATGAATCTCAACGAATTAGCATTTTTGAATTTGCTACTCGGTTGCATACTCAAGTTAAATATAATCAAGCAAATGCAATACAATTATCTATTTCTTACTATAAATGGATACTTCTGGGAGTGCACGAACGTCGACTGCCGGCTGCATCGACGATGCCGACAGCGCCAGTGCGGACGTCGTCAGCAAGTTGTCGTGGGACGCCTGGGTCACGGCGTTGGTCGGGCGGACAGGGTTGTCTAGCGATGCTGCAGCGGCCGGGAAGGTGCGCGCGCTACTCCGCCACTTTTGCTTCGTAGGTTGAGGTTGTCAACCGGATTATCGTTCGGACCCTGAAGGCCCTGTGCAGCGAACTACGTTTGCAGCCTTCCGGTTGGCCGGCGCTACTGCCTATGGTGCAGAGTGCCCTAAACCAGCAGCCTGCAGACCGTCTGGATGGGATAGCACCGATCACAGCGTTCACCGGTTTGCCTGCGACGCCCCCCTTGGTTGGTCTGGCCCACCAGGATATTGTCCAGGACTTGTCCATCGATTGGGTCAAGTCAGAGGCAATACGTCATATCACTGAGCTTGCTGAAGCCCTCGCTGTGATGCACAAGCATGTTGCCGAGACAGCTGCGCAGAAGCGTGCAAAGACCCGAAAGTACCGATCTGGACGACGCGCTGTCAAGTTCGAGAATTTTTCACTGGGAGACGTCGTCCTAGTGGCTAGAGCGCTGCAGCACCCTGGCAAGCTTACGTTGCGTTGGAAGGGACCATACCGTGTCGTGAAGGTGGTATCGGACCACCTGATGGAGGTGCAGCAGCTTGTGCCACCCGGCGCCACGTCATTGCACCGTACATGTCGACTGCGCATGTACTGTGAAGGCGGGAGAGAAGTTGATGAAGACCTGACGGCGCAGATTGTGTTTGGTGATGACGGATTTTAAGTTGAAGAATTACAAGACTTGAGCATGCACAGCGGCGCTTGGCAAGTGAAGATCAAGTGGCTCGGCTTGGACGAAGCGGAGTCGTCCTGGGAGCCAGCATTGTCGATCTATGCAGACGTGCCGGTGCTGTTTCGTCGTTGTGTCCTCGACAAGAGCGACGAAGATGGCGTCAGCGAGATGGTCGAGGACATCGAGCGTGCATGTGGCAACTCTGTAGGGGGGAAGTGTTCTCGGCTTGGCCTCGATGTCGACTGCACGTGCGAATGTGTGTGCAGCCGAGCAATGGTCCTGGTTTGCCAGGATGACAGGATTATGTTCCAGGGTCCTAGCGTCCGGATGCTGTACTGCATTGAGTGTGTAGTGAGGGGACATCACTACTGACTGCGAAGTGAGGGAGGTAGCTTGGTAATGAAGTCACTTTTGGATTTGTCGTCGAGGTCGCCGTTGTAACAGGGCAAGCCGTCGATTACGAACACCGGCGCAAGACAACACATGGTCAGCCGGGTGGTGGACGCCCTCGGCAGCGATCTCCTTGCCCAATCATACGGCTTTAGACTTAAAGAAGAAACACTTCTTGGTGTACAGTTTCAATTCAAACTTCGTACACTGCTTGAGCACAGCTTCAAAGGCGTCAAGCTGGAACTTTCTGTCCTGGCCGTAACCGAGAACATCATCGATGCAACACCGCACATTCTTGTGCAATAGGTCACCTAAGATTTTGCTGGCAACCAACTGGCAAAACGCCACGGCGCCGGTTTGCCCCATGAGCAAACGGATCGACTTATACACGCCGTGACCAAGTTGATGGAACTGTCCGCCAGATGCCACAACGGGTACATCGGCGAGATCCCAATCTCCTCTACGTTGACGAACCTTTCCTAGGAACTCGGTGGGCGTAAACCCACGTAGGCACGTGTTTGACCACAAAATCTTTGGCTCGGGATCGTTGTCATTGTCCCTCATACGCACACGGCGTAACACTAGCGGGTCACTCGGCGTGGTGAACGTCTATGTCTTGAATCAGACTTGGCTGTTGACATGCATCGGCTCGCTCTCATCACCAAACAGCTATAGGTCCAGCGGCTCTGCGTCTTTGACGTCTGATGTGCCACCAGCCTTGCTCGACGCATCCAACTGTCCTTGAGTCATGATGGACACATCGGATCCGGTATCGAATAAAGGCGCGAGCAGCGACAACATTCCGTCAATCCGCACAGCCGCGTTGTCTATTTACATAGGTAAATTGCACTGGGATTCGTCTGTGTCTTCTCGATACATTTGGCACCACCTTGTTTAACTTGCGCGACTTCACCTAGCCATTGGACGAAGAGTTCGTTGGTTGTTTGGGAACTTAGCAATTATATCGTCAATCGCAACATTATGGGGACCTGACACATATACTACTCAGTCCCGGTTAGTTTGTACCATATTTACTACTATTGTCGGGGCCAATTGGGATCGCGCACGGGCAATACGGATTGTAATATAAATATGATAGAATACGAATATCAAGATACTAAGATGAGTGGCGTGTAGGCTGTGAGAGCAGCATTATTTAGCACACTTCAGGACACATTTAGCATCAGTGTGGGGCGAGTTATGAATAAAAAACACCAGCTCTCAGCAGCCGAAAAGTACTTGGTTGTAAAATGCCATGGTGAAGAACCGCGTGGCAATGCGTCCATCGAAGAACGTCGCGGAGCTCGAGGAACGTCTATGGACGTTGTTTGGAGAGGTGAACAGTTATGATTGGGTGTCGTCCTACCGTAAGGCGCAGAACTACGAGGATAGATACGAGGCACTTGATGAAGACGTTGCCTTTGTCTCGAGCGGCGAGCAAGAGGATAGCTTCGGTGGGTCTTCCATTGGCAGTGATTAAAACGTTGTTTAACCTGATGCGTTTTTATATAAAACCTTCCATATTACCTATACTTCACCTAAGCCTGGTTGGTTTTGTCCAATCAATTCTCCTAAAAATAACCCTATACTCCAACTGGAGATGATTTTCACTTGCCGTTTTTGAACGGTGTATTAATATTCCTTACCATTCTGAATGCGACTTGTTGGCGATTTAGTCGCATCATAAATTGTTTGACGTTTTTTTATATCATCGTTTCGTCGAAATTGGACATCTCCTTGAAGAGTTATGAGGTCTGAAATGGTGACCGATCCCAATCGGCCTTGACAATAGATTTTAGTACACACTGCTGGTGGGAAACCTCTTGAAATTTATATATTGTCTCTCAATAGTCATAACGCTCGATGAAAATATAATGCATATTTTCACTACTTAGTCATGGGACTTCATTAAGGTCCCCAGGAGAATTTCATCTGATAGTCGTGAGGTAAAGTACTCCAAGACTTGTTCTTAAGTGGCTGAGTTACTCTCAACATTGAATGAAGACCTTTTAGTTATTGTTTGGTCCTTATTCATATGTGGTAGCGAAAACTACAGTAAGCGACGGAAAAATGTCCCCAGTGGTACTAGAGAAATATATTGAACCTTGCATCGGCAATAAAATTACCCTCGACGAGAATTGACAGTATTTATATTGAAGCAGCTGACGAATTGAAGTGCAATGTCCACATGATAGGTAAAAAGTGGTCGCTTCATTTCAGAAACGACCGCAACGACCAGCAACAAATACTACTATACTTTAGAAAAGTACGAATATTTCGAATATGAAATTTATTTTCAAGTGACAAGCTACTTTGCAATGGTCCGTGGCAGCGCGTTTTCAAATAGGCGAATAATGATATTACATGGCATGTCCTCCCAAGCTTCAACATTACGCTTAACCACAGAAATGTGTTTTTAGGCTGCAGAAACAATAACCGTCTTTTCGTAAGGCCACTTCTAACGAAAATTGCTCTACAATGGTTCCCTGACACCAAACATTAAAAAAAAGTTGGAGAACACTTGTCGAATTCCTGGTCAAAGGTTCCAAAACTCTAAATCATTCAGACGATACAATTTCATGCGGTTCCACAGACTCAATACAGTCAAGATTGCCAGCTAAAACCACAAGGCTCAATCACGAACTTGAGCAGCTCAGTCAGATATAGTTTCCAGACACTTGTATTCATCCGCGCTATCTCTTTCACGGCGTAAACATGAGCAGTTTTAAGGTATCGATTGACCACCTGGCTTGCAATTCAAGACGGAATGAATTGGTAGCTTTTCGTCATTGGAACGCGCGGAGAGGACGGCTGTAATGATATCGGAGTGCTTTTGTCTCTTGTCAATCTTTGGCGATCTTCCGAATTTGGCAAGAGTCTTTGTTGGAGGCACATCATAGTAAACAGATGTTTCATCCACGTTGATAATGTCACGCGGCGCAGTGTCACGAAACTTGCCCCAAATGCAGCAGCTAATTTCGCCTTGGTCTCGGCAAGAACTGCTTGAGGGCTGCGGTAAACTCAATCGTCGGGTTTATTCGTAGTCGAGTAGTTTTCAAGCAGTCCGTGTGGTGGTTCTTCATGAACGTGACATGGTGACCATGTGGAAGGTAGTGCTCCTCTTTACAGACCGTATCCACAACCTGTAGAGTTCCGACGCAAATGGAAAGGTGTCGTGACGCCCTTGGCCGCCCAGCGTTGCATCGTTTGTTCGTGATGGAGTCCTTTCGGCACAACAAGTTGCGCCACGTTTCCAGTCGATGTTTTAAGTCTTGGCGTAATCTCTGGAGGATATCGTGCTTGTATCGAATCACTCGATGTACTTCTTGTGTTGGGCGTTGGCGTACCTCTTGTAGGCCATGTCTTGACGTTGGTTTGAAGTCAATAATGTTAGATGATGAACCACTCAAAATAGTTTTATGCCCGAAACGTTTTACCCGGTTTTCGTCATCTGCACCGTCACCCGTGTCGTGGTCAGCATGATCGCGGATGTTGCCACGATTTGGGGCCGAATTTGCGTCCAAATCGTGCACTTTTTGCCTTCGAAACCGCGATTTGGACCAAATTTGGGTCCAAATCGTGGGGGTTTTGACGTGGACCTCCCAGATTTGGACCCAGATTGTGTGCAACCTGTATGGGGTCGTCGTGTTGGACCCCCCC